ATAAAAGTGATTTTTTATTCATATTCATTTTATTAATTGATCTTCTAACTATTTTTTTTTACAAAAATTTGATTTGCAAAAAAATCTTTTCTGCTATAATAGATAACAATATTCTTTTATTTAGGCTTTTTATAACATATCATAAGCAAATAACTCCCTTGTATAAGCTCTTTTTAGTTATATTATTTGAATATAACTTCTAAATACTATAGAAAAGTAGTAAATATAAGAAAAATTGTCAAATATCTCTATTGTTTTAAGTGAACTCATTAGTAGTTTGCTAGTACAGAGATAGCTAGTTCAACAAGTATTTGTACTATTTTTAGTAAGAAAATAAGTAGCAAAATCTTACTCTCTTAGAAGTGGCTTTCTCTGATATCTTCTTTTGGATTTTTCTCTAACTCGTTAGTATTTTTTAGATAATTTAGCTTATTCTTTTAAAAAATCTACAACATATATCAACAAAAACAATTGAGTATTAGCTAACATTTTCTATACTATAAACAAACAACAAATATATGTTAGGCTAAATATAGCTATAAGAAATCTAAGTTGTTAATATTCTCTCTATAATACAGTACTCTATTCCTTTGAGAATTTAAAAATAATTTTAGTGTTATATATATATACTTTATATACTATTTTAGAAGAAATATTTGACTCTTTTTATTTTTGTTTTTGGTTTAAAGATTTATATCTGTTAGCAAGTTTCTTTTATTTAACTTTTTTATATGATATATGATCTTGTATCTTTTGTTATATATAAAATTTTTATTTTCTTTTTTGTTGCTTACTTATCTTAGATCAGATTAATACAGAATAGGAGATGAACAAGAGATTTTTGACTAGGCTATCAACAAGCTATTAAGAATTTGAATTTTTTTTGTATATCTATATACAGAAACTTTTGAGAAGTAAATTGTTAGCAGGTCAATCATACTTAGAGTCTCTAGAGGTATTCAAGTAAGTTGTAAATGAAAATTCAATATGTTGGTATAATTTAGAAAGCTTTTTTAGACTAGTATTAGTTATAAAGATATGATATAAAGATTTTCTAGTATATTATATTATACTTAGATATTTTATAGCATATTTATATTGTATTATTAGTTTTAAATTGAATAAAATATAAGTAGCAAGATTCTCTTATTAAAAGAAAAAAGAAAAAAAGAAAAAACCTTTGTTTAAACTACTTAGTATCAAGTATTAATAAAAATTAGATAACTAATTTTTTTTTATTTTCAATAAGCTATTTATAAATTTTTATTAAGTATTATTTTTAAGTTATATTTGTTAGTGAAAATATAATTGACTACATGTAAAACTTTAGTTATTATCTATTTAAAGATTCTGTTATATAGCTACTAATTGCTATACCTAGTATCTGTCTATAGATACTTTATTTAAACTCTTTAGCATTATTGTAAAATTCTATATTTAACCTAATATTTGTAATCTATACTAATTTTATGCTAGCTTATTCTGAAGACTATGCTAACTAACTTGTACTTCAATTGTATTCATAGAATAGAGTCTTATCTCAAGGTACCCTATAAGTTCTATTCTAATAAGGGTTTGCAAATGACTCTAACTATGCTATACTATAGCCTAATTAAGCTAGCATATATTTTTATTAGTATTTGTATAAATCTAGTTCTTTCTATAGCTCTTTACTAGATTAGTCTAGTTCTTCTAAATATTTTATAAGATAGATCCTTCTAAATTCAGTTAGCTACTAAGCTAGGTTAGTATTGCTATTCATAATATTACATTATACTTAACTTTTTTATTACACTATAAACTTACTTGCATTCACTCAGTTTGCATCTTTCATTCTTAGACTTCTTCTGAATCAAGTGTAAATTTAGTATAACTATTAAAATTTATATTACATCATCTAATTCAAGATTTTTACTATGCAGATCTCTGCTTATTGATCATATTTTGATTTATTCATGTAATATTACATCTACTTAACTTTTCTGTTACACTTCTAATATCTAATTAATATTAGTACAATATGATTTACAGAGTTACAACTCTAGAAATGAACAGGGTTTATTGTAAATTAAATACAAAGGTCTGAGTAATTATTCAAATTTGTTAATAGTGGGATTTGAATTCTAGACCTCTTATATAGCAGTCTAACAATTTAACTACTATACTAAAATTATCAGACTTTTTTTAGATAACTAATATTAAAAATAAGATATCTAATATTAATAAAAAAAAAGTATAGTCAACCTTCTATATAGTCATCCTTTATATAATTATATTATAGGTTATTACATTTATAATTAAACTATACTTTAATTTAATATATAATAAAAAGCCTTCTATATAAGTACAACTCTTTATAAACATATTTTTAAAAAAACTTACTATGTGCTTAGCTATGTGATTATATGTATAAAGAGACAACTGTATCTAATATTTTTAATATTAAAAAGATAAGAGATTATCAAAAGAACTATAAAAATAAAGTATAAAACTAAATAAAATTGTATTTTTGAATTTAGAAAGTTAGTAAAGATCAATTAATAAAATGAATATGAATAAAAAATCACTTTTATATAAAATAATTCAAAAAAAAAAAAATAAAAATTTTTATAAAAAGTCTGGTGATTTTAGTGTAGTAGTTAGGTTGCCAGACTGCTATATAAAAAGTCTAGAATTCAAATCCTACTGTCAACAAATTTGAATAATTACTAAGATCTCTGTATTCAACTTATAGTAAACTCTGTTCATTTCTGGAATTGTAACCCTATAAATCATGTTACACTAATATCATAAGTATATTAGAAGTGTAATATGACATAATATTGTACAAATAAATCTTAATAGGATCTACAAACAGAAGACCTACATAGTAGAAATCCCAAGTTAGATAAAGTAGTACAGATTTTAACAGTCAATTCAGTTAATGCTTGATCTGATAAGGAAGTTTGTATATGTATATTGTAGATTGAACAGATATATGTAAGTCTATTACAGTGATACTAGATAGCTAGCAGTATGTAATTCTTAATTAGCAGCACCAATTTGGCTTGGTAGCTAACTAGATTTGAAAGAATCTGCTTTATAAAACATCGTGAAAACCTCAAAAAACTAAATCAGTAGAGAGCTATAGAAGGAACTAAATTTGTACAAATATTAACAAAGGTCTAATTTAAGTAGAACTTATAAAATAGGCACAGGACACTCTAGTAAGTTTGCTTACAAGGTTAACTGGCTCTGCAAATACTCACAATATGTTGAGTATAATATATTCCTAAGAGAACCTAAGCTAGTTAGTAGATAATCTGTAATAAGCTAGCTGGCTTAAGCAGTTAGGGTTGCAGTAATATTAATTTGGAATTATATGTGACACTACATTGAACAGTGTGTTTAAACAGATAATTCACAAGTGGATTACAGATATAGCAGCTTGTATAGAACTACTCAGATAGTTTAATATCTGTGTAGCAGACTATTTAAATAGACAATAACTAAAGTTGTATGTATGACTAGTTGTACACTCTTCATGTAATGATAACAGCAGGGATTATCTATGTTGTGACTGAGTATCTGAAATTAATAAAATACCTCTAGCAAAGTAAGCTCCCTTTAAACAGAAAAAAAAAAAAAAAAGATTTCTACTAAATTGCTTGTAAATTTGGAATACTTGAAAATTAGTATCTAGCTAATGAACTTATACATTTATATATCCCTAATTATCCTAATCCTAATGTTGTTCAAGATTCTTCAAAGTAATTTTATTTATTTTATAATTATAAATTTATTTATTTTATTGGTTTTACTCACTAAATTTTGTACACTACCAGTGATGAAATAAGTCAATTAGTATCTAAGAAAACCCATTGTAAAAAAACTAATTATGGCACTAAATCCTGCTTATGCGGAGAAACAACATATTATGTTCAAGGCAATGTGGTTGTATTTTGCATGGTCAATGCAAAATTTGCTAGTTAATTATTTTTTCTCTCATAAAATAGAATTACATTCAGCTTTATTTTCTTTTTTTTAAAAAAATAATAGTTGCGATTAGTTTTTTTTTCAACTCTTAGATTAGAAAAATTGCATTTTTACAGTAGCGTTTAGAACTTACCATGAAAATATAAATATGCATTTTATAGCATATATATACTTGTTTTTTTAATATGCATTTTTATTTATTTTATTATACAAAATTTTTAATGATTACCGCGTAAATATTCATTAATCGATTCCAAAGCGACATACGTTATTCTTGGATTCGCAAATGACACATGTCGATTCCGAATCGACAGGAATCAATAAACGACACATAACATTAATACCTAATGTACCCTAAATTAGATATTTACGTAATTTTGGGGCGTGAACAAACTCAGCAGCAATGATAAAATATTCTACAATTAATTCAAGGCGTCGAAGCCTCCTACATAATCATGTTCTAGTTGGATACATTTATGAATATACGGTAATAGGCCAGATTTTTATGAATTAATCTATAATCGCTCTAACATATCAGTCAGATAAGAAAGAATATAATGTTAAAAATTATCTAAAATTTCAAGAATAATGTATTTAATAAGATAATTTATAAATTGAAAATTTTTCTCTTTTAATAAGACTAGTGTATTATATGATAATTTAAATTTATTTAATTTAATTATTACCAAATTCTGTTATAAGAAACATTATTCTTGCTTTCATATTCAATGTCATAGTTAATTATTATAAACGTTATAGAATGCTATAGTTTAATATTATAATAATAATTGTATGAGAAAGAATTTAAATACTCAATTGGTGACAAAAATCTCATTTAGCATTTTTATGAAATTTTTTTCCCATAAACCCTAACACAATTCCAATAAGTTTGAAAAAGATTAACTTCCTCTCTAATTTTTGAAAGATCCATTTCATACTTATCTTCATTAACATCCATGTAGGGAGCCAAATAAATTTTAATTTGTCTCAAAACCATCAACAAATTTTTTAGAGCGACTTCACCAATAGGGTTATCCCATTTACCAATTGGATAACATTGTTTTTCAGTAGTTATTGAGGTTAAATGAGAATTAGAACGGAGTAAGGGTTCTAAACTTTCTGTTATGAGAGGATTCATTCCTTCTGATATATAGTATGATCGAACTATATTAATTAAGGTAGAAAGAATTTAATCGTTAATTAATACATTATATTAGCTTTAACACGAATTTATAAAATTCAAATATTTGACTTATATATGTATATAAAATAAATAAGCCATAACATAGAGCTGAACGTTATTATATCTTAATAGAAAATTATTCTTAATAAGCGAAATTTGAATTCATTCAAAATATACAGGATATAATGCGCAATTAAATAGAATAATTTTATGAATTTTGAGGTTATATCTTAATAGATGTAAAGCTCTAATTTATAAAAGTTAAGATTGAAATTACCTGAAGACATAAATTCTTGCGTAAACAATCCTTCGTTACCACCTTGAACATTAACGTCCATAATTTCCAGATATCCATCAATTTTTAAAATTCTTACCAACTCATTTATTACTTCTTTAAATTTATTATCAGGTATTTCAGAAGCCATAAACCGTACATATATAAAATCAAATGTTTCATCCTCAAATGGCAATTTGGATAAAATATCACAATATTGAAGTGAAACACTTGATGGAGTTAATGGAGTGAGATCACGAAGTGCTTTAGAGGGCTTTTCGACACCAAAAAAAGAAGAATTTGGATATTGTGATGATAAATCTATGAGCCAAGTAGCAGTTCCACAACTTTTTAATTCAGATTATTAAGAAAAGTAAAAATTTAGTTTTTTATATTATTTTATTAAATTATTTATAATATGCATATTTTAACAAATTTAAATTACCCAAAATCCAAAATCTTTGCACCGGTTTCTAATTTTTTATCAACTGGAGCCGAAAAGTTATTTTGCCATATGTATTTAAAAATATGATGTTGTAAAGCCAATCTATCTCCTCCGTAATCTTTTTTCGGAAGTGGATATTTTTCATCATCAATTATTGTCGATGAAATTCTATTTACCTTTTCAGGAGCTGAGATGATAATTTTCACATCTTTTGTGCGTATATCTTTAGAAGTAGTACATCCCATGTTTTTTAAATAAAATATTTTTCTTATTTATCAAGAGAAAAAAAAAACAATTTTTTTTTGGTTATGGTATTCCTTTAAGATATATTGTACGTATCGGTACTTAGCGTAGAAAATAATCCGTAATTTTAATCAACGAGTCACACACAAATATTGTGTTCGGTTACTATTACTATACCTGCCGTACTGTACTTTACCGCGTGTCAATATATGCATATTATTTGTTTAACAGTTCCTTTCATTGTGTTGTTAACATTTCTGTGGTTTGCACAAAGAATTTTCATATACTATTGGTAGTGATTAATCTCTACGGCGTTTGATTACAGAAGAGCAGAGATCTTTACAGTTGCCCTGCCTTATTTAGTGCATTGAGTTAAACCTAAGTTTGCATTCGGAGCTAAATTTATCTAATTATAAGTTGGAAAGTATATAGAAATATTCTATCAAATTATAATATACTGACGCTAACGTGTATTAAAATTTTTATCATAAGGGAGAGAACATATAGAACACCTAAGGAACCAATACTTCTTGCATTCTAACAAATATTCTTTACGAATATTTGGGTTTTTACTAACAAAAGCACCGTTCGTTGGTTAATATCGCCTGTTTTCCTTCTCTTTTGACCTCCTCAAACAATCACATATTAGTATGAAATTGTCATTTAATCTGCAGCATAAATGTGTTCGTTCAATTATCGTAGTTTAATAGATTGATTTTAACTAATGTCGTGTCAGGTCGGGATATTATCATATGGCGTGATCGGGATAATTATGTATGCATAAAAGTATAATTTCTTGGGTAATCATTTACCCGAACTAATAGTAATGATACGTAATATAAATAACGATAAAGATAACGATCCAAAAAGGAAAGTTGCAATCTATAGATTTTGTGTAAATAAAGATAATCGTTTAATAGATGATCTCTCTCTGCAATGATGGAGTACCTGTACGATATGTAAAGCAATATAGCCAGACGAATGGTCCCAAGAACCCGTGATAACTAGCTAATTAACTTTAAGCGATATAAACCAATAAATAATTCTATGATTATTCAAACCCATTATATTGTTTAGTTGATTTTGAATCATTGAAAGAGGGAATGGTTCTATTGAATAGATGGGCTTTATTTTAAGAGCTATCAGGTGAAACTAGTATTATACTAGAAACGGAAACCGTTGAGGTCCGGAGCCTAGATTTTAAACTTTTTTTTTTTATTTTTTATTTTTTTTATTAGACTTTTGTTTTTGAGTTTCAAAATACTCTTTATGAGTAACTTATCTTTACCATTCATGTCCGTTTCAAATCCGACCTACAAAGTTATAAATTGCAATTCGATTGAAATTTGTGAAAATGATTATAAAGAAACAAGTTTAAGAGGTAGTCCGCAATTAAAGGGCATAAATTTCATAGTAAAAATTGGCACATTAATACTTTCATATAGAGATGTAATAGTAAAACTAGTATAGTAATAAACTTAGAAATACCAATATCTCGGGATCTACAGAATATTTAGATGATTTTAGCACCATTAGAACGAGAACGATCGTCCCTACAATTTTCCTTAGAAACTCAAAAAAAGGCACTCTCATTATAGTCAAGATGTTGGGCTGTAGGACTTTCTTCACTAAATCGAGAGATTCATTATATCAAGAGCTCTTAATATACAGTAATAAAGTTTATACTAAATAAAAAAACCTTTATTATATCAAGAGATTTATATATTAAAAACTTTTAATATAGTGAAGTTTATATGTAAAAATCTTTATCAAGAGAATTTTTTAATTAATATAATTAGTTAAAAATTCTTTTATAATAAATCTTCACTATAATGTACTGAAAAACCTTATATCGAGAGTTTATTATATAACTTCACTATATCAAGTGAAAAATTAATAGTTCTAAAAAAAAATTCTTCATTGTAAGCCCATCTTCACAATAACGAGAGTGACTTGCATCAAGTTCTGATTTTTTACTATGAAATTTGCTTTTTTATGGTACCTATTTAAAATCCCGACAGATTAGCCTGCGTTATGGTTAGAGTTAGTCAATTTTTGTCGGAATTTTTGTTTTTGGGGATTTCGTTGTCGGGATTTTGTATCAAACCCCTTTTTTATACCCGTCAGAGCTGAACTACCTCTTAAATTATTTATGTAATGTGATTGAAGAATTAAGAAACGCATTTTTTTTAGATTGTTATTAATCTACATATTTATAATCTGCATTAACCAAATAGATCACAAACCTTATCGCAATATAAAATCGATTTAAAGCTATTAGAAAACTCGAAAAATACACTTCGTACTTAGATGGGATTTCAACGTTGAATAAAAAATTATTAAGTACATAATTATAAAAAAATACTTAATAAAAAATGCTTTAAGGTTATCGTTACCGGTATTGATTCTGAGCTTTTATTAGGCATTAATTGATACAAAATACCCCAGGTAAATTAGATATCTATATTTTTTTCAGAGGCACCCGTGACTATAGTTGTTAGGCGAAACTGTTTCACGTAAATGATGAAAGACGAAACCTAAACCCAGAAAAGACGAAAGGTGACGAAACCCTGACGAAAGACGAAACCCCAGGCGAAAGACGAAACTGGTGAAAGACGAAATTTCAGCAAAGAAATAGAAACCTCGAAACTTTAATACAAGACGAGGTCCTAACAAGGGTAAAAGGCTAAGCTACAGTTGGTGAACGAAAGCTTTTGTTTTTTTATGATGATATATCCTATATGTACGAAAATTACAATCTTACATTACTTGTAACTGGTGTGAGGTCCAACAAACGTAATTCGGATAAGCTGCGGCTTATCACGTTTGACGCGGGTACGAAGATCAGTTACTTGATATGGTGGTTGACTGGTCACGTTCCTTCCGGAACACAAACTGGTGGGACAAGTCGCATACGTCGCATTCGTTGCATATGTCGCATGCGATGCATGCGACACGTATAACGAATGCGACCCATGCGAAATATATGGGATATAGGGGATATATTTAATAAATGTAATATGTATCGCTAAGCAAAATATATTATAAATAATGGCCGAAATGACCCTTGAGAGAATTAAGTCTCGTTTGCTTCACAAAACAATAAAGTCACAATTTTATTGAATAAATCGCTCATAACATTATATAAACTACTGCTACGCTAATATACTCTTAAAAATCCTGTTATAAATCCTTGTTCGTCTAACCTCTTGATCACATGACCAAACTTTTTTGATCAAAGTAATCCGAGCCTTAATCACCTCTTTCGTAAGGTTGCTTACCTTTGGTTACGCAAGTTTTTGGATAGTTGAGCGATCGAGTCGCAGTCCTTTTCTCAGCCTCACAGTATCGAAGAAATTATTCGGTTTAAAGTTCACCTATTAGGGTGATTCAAAACAAATGTTTAAGAAAGTTTGAATCAGATAAATAAGACAGCCATACAAGAAACTCAACTTAATTGTGATAGAACTACTCAATAGTTTTATTATCCATATATGTCAGGTTATTGTCTTATTAAAAATAATATTTTCTTTTTGTTTTTACATTACTTATATAAACCAAATACTGTCTTCCTCCTCTATAATCACACAGTCCGTATCATGCAAATTGTGTGATTATATAAAGGTTTTTACTCTGATGTGCTTATAAAGGAGTATTTTTTTATAAGTTTATTAGTAAAATGTTGCAGGCTTTAGTGTGATTATAAAAAGGGTTTTAATATGATGTGATTATAGAGAAGGTGATTATAGAGGAGTAAGACAGTATCTTAATCTAGATTTATTAGTTCAGTTTAGATTTAGTGCTAAAAGCTTATACTCAATAGTTATATAAGATATTTCAAATTTATAAATGATTATAACTTTTATCTAAGAGGTTTTAAAAAAAATCTATTTAGTAACTTTATAAAGTTATATTTGCTCTATATATATATTAAATATTTTTTCAAAATCTTATTACTATAAAGAGTTAATACATTTTAAAAATTAAAATAATATATATAAATTTATAAATTTTTTTATAAAATTTCAATTTATAAATATATTAACTCTTTATAATAATGAAATTTTAAAAAAATATTTAATATATATGTAGAGTTAATATAGTTTATAAAGTTATTAAGTAGATTTTTTTAAAATCTTTTTGATAAAAAGTTATAATTATTTATAAATTTGAAACATCTTGTATAACTGTTGAGTATAGGCTTTTAGTACTAGAGCTATAGTTCTTAATATTTTATTTTATATATTTTTTAGCAAATTTGTAATAAGTATAATAGTTATTTTTATTTTTTAATTTTATTTAGAAGTAGTAATATAAGCTAATAGAAAAAATCTTAAATTATAGCTAGTTTAAACTAACTAGATTAATTAGAATTAACTTTTTATAAATTATTATAAATAATTCTAAAAATATTTAATTTTTATTATATTTTAAATATAAATTAAAAAGTTATTAAAATTTAATTTTATTTATAAGAGATTTATATTCAATATTATTTTATTATATTTTGAAGATTTTTAGCTAATTATTTCTAGACTAGCTTGTATTACTATTCAGAAAGATTACTTATTTTTTTATAATATATATTTTACTTATTTTATTTATTTTAATTTAATTTTAAGTTTTTATTTTTTTAATTTTTACTATAGTTAAATATTTATTAGTTATAAGTAAATATATTATATAATATTTATCTCTTTTAATAAAATGTTATAGATATTCAAATTTTAATAAATTTTTTACAAGACTAGTTTTTTTTATTTTTAGATTTATTCAGATAACTAATAATTATAAGATATTTCTTTATTAATAATATAACAAAAAAAACTTTCTTAAAAAAATATATATTAATAAATATTTTTTATCTAAAATATAAACTTTTTAAATTTACAAATAAAAAAACTATAATAACAAAATATATAAAAAATTTTTTAAAAATTTTAATAAAAATAGTTATATAATTTGTTATATTATTATAAAGCTATCTGCTTTTTTAAAAATA